GTAATCATGTATTTTGCATTGTTCCATGCTGCCATTTCATTTCAATGATATCTAAGTTAAAAACAATTCAAAATTGAAAATGTTATAGTATAAAATTCCCAAACTAACTCTGTGTAGTTCAGTTTCTTAATCACTCAAACACTTATTGAATACTCAGTAATTATTATTGATTTACCTATTCTTTTTTTAACCCAGTTAATGTTTAAATGGAGCTCCAGGTTTTCAAAGACTGGTCATTTTTCTCCCAGCATGTCTATTTAATCATGGTCCTTTATGAGCCATGAAAATCAACCGCAGACTGCTAAAGAGTTGGGTGAATGCTATTAGCTATTTGTTAATGGTTTGGTCTATAACTGATAGAGTAGGTACATAGACACTCACTGGTATGCTTTCCCAAACACAACCACGTTTCAAATATGCCATTTGTTAGCTTCCATATTGGTTTAGATGCTATAATTTTAAATAAAGTTAAACAGAGGCTGAGGATAACGAAGGGACAAACTTCAGTTTACAACACAAAAACACTGAGAATTTTCATTTAAATAAAATCTCTTTAAAATGTACAATATTTCCCTTCTCTCAGGTTCCACACTAAATATGTCCATCCAAACCCAAACTCATCATCACTGAGTCAAGTTCTGACTCATAGCCACTCTACAGGACAGAGTAGAACTGCCCCATACGGTTACCAAGGCTGTGAATCTTTACAGAAGTACTCTGCTACACTTTCACCTGGTGTGGCTGGTGAATTCAAACTACCCAAACCCTTGGATATGTCCATGCCTATGTAAAATAAGTAAATGCATGCTATTTTGTCCCCGAATTTATTTATGTGGAGAATCTCTTATTTTAAAACTGTAGCTTTATCTCTTATTTTATCTATTATCTTTAATTTTCAACTCCCCACCAAAGAAAATCATTTCAATTTTATTTTACTCTATGTTTGCTTTTTAATATTGTTATTCCATTAGATAGATCTCTTCTGATGAGAACTTGAATTATGCTACTTCTCAAGCATAACTTTCTTTAACTGTGTTACTTGAAAGTCATCTTATGTATTTGTTAAACCTTTGTACCATTATTGCTTAATCTCTATTATAAACCTAAAAGCAATTGTTTTTGTTTTTGTTTTTCATTTTCTTGAATAGAATCTCTTCATTTCTAAATTTGCAAAGAACCTTCAGATGACACTCACCTGACCAACATAGAAAATTTTTATCTCTGGAAGATATTCATGTTAAAACTATTATTTTTGTCCCATAAGATTCAATTATTTAAGTATGAAAACATTTTTTTCATTTTAATTTATTCAACATTCCATACTTATTTCTTTTTTAGTTATGCAACTGCACAGCCTGTAGCTGTCCATCCACTTGTGTTTGGCATCCCTCTAAGTTTAGGAATTGCTGCATTTAACCAATACCAAATATCTAAATATATAACTGTTTCCATATTTTGTATGCCAAAACTCATTACCGTTGAGTTGGTTCCTGCTCCTAATGACCCCATAGGTGAGACAAGAACTGTTCCACAGGGTTTCCAAGGCTGCAATCTTTATGAAGCAGACTGCCACATCTTTTTCTTGTGGAGTAGCTAATGAGTTCAGACCTTCAGCTGAGTGTTTAACCACTGTGCTACTAGGGCTCCCTAGAGTCCGGATAGAAGCTTTGAATCACTATAGATCTTACTACATTTTGATTTTTCTCATTTTTTTTCCATAATTTTATTGTATGTGATTCTTCTTATGCAGGTATTGTATAGACTCTCATTTTCAGTGTCATAAGAAGTTATCAAAAGTAATGTACTATTTTAGATACATATAAATATTTAACATCAGTTGTCAAATAGGTTGTCATAATTTTGGATCAACTCTGCAATTTTTTATAAGAAAAATATATTTAATAGACTGCAATTTCAAACTATTTAAAATGCAGTCATAAATCTCAGATACACGGAGGTCTTTGACATTTTAGATACATATAAATACATACATACAAATACATTTTAGATACAAAAATTTAATTGAAAAACAAAACTTTAGAAACTATTCTCCATTTTTTATATTTGGAACTATGTTGGCAGAAAAGTATATACACAAAGTTACTGAATAAAGATAGAAAGGTTGTTGGGTAGGTAGCATCATATTTTGGAAAGAACAGTAATTAAGGTCAGAAGATTTGTGATGAATTGTGAAGTTAATAAATTGTTAAGTTCTCTGAGACTTAGTTTCTTCATCAGTAAAAACAGGTACCATAATCATTCACATTATTGTGAGTCAAAGGTATTTAGACGTTTTCTAAGAAATTTTAGACACTGAAGAATTAAAAAGTTTTCAGTGCAAAGAGTTAATCAATATGGCTGAGAGAGCCCATATCCAACTATAAGGAACAAAAAACATAAATACTGTGCTCAAGCATAAAATTTGAGTCTGTGCCACCCAAGAGCCAGAGTTAAAAAGGAAATACACTGGAGTTTCTCTTTTTCATTATCACAAATGTGGATTTCCTTGTTTCTCAAGGGAAAATGCTCTTTTCCTTGGAATATAAATTTAAAATACAACCTACACACACACACACACACACACAAACCAAAACCAAGCTCAATGATGATG